GAGTATATTGAAAATATAAATAAATAGATGTCCAGGCACTTCACGTGCTATTGATCTTACAATTCTCATCTCCACCAAGATAATAACTTCCCAATATTGGAAACCTAAACGACTCCAATGTCGATAAAATAGTCAGATTTGACAGGATAGAATATCGTCCATCGTTAATGTGCCAATTAACGAGTTCAAAGGTTAGAGGTAGTCAAACCATAAGTCTTGTATTTGTCTGAAACGATAGCAAGAAGAAATTAAGACGTCTATAGATTCTTGCAAAGTAGACATCATGTGATTAAGAGGGAGCTGTGTCAGCTGTTCTGTAGGTTTGTCATATAAATTCAACTTCATGAATTAGATACATTTCTGAAATACACAGGGCTTAAAAGATCTGAAGGGGAAAATGCACTGTCTATAAAGGATAAATGGGAAACAGAGGGAAATTTCAAAATGGAACTGGAAACATGTGAAAACACAATGAAGCACCAGAGGAAATGTACCCCTTCTGGGTGGAAAATTTGCTGAGATTTTTTAGAAGTCCTCTGCAATGCAAGTTTCTACACAGAAAATTGTTGTGTTGAGGCAAAAGGAAAAAAAAATGCTAATTACATCCAAATGTTTGGTCTTGCCCACTGATCCTCCAGTTCTGGACTGGCAGAAATGAGGGATTGGGGGGGGGGAATAAATTAACCATTTCATTTATATTCAAAACCTTAAATTCCAAACCTTCAACTCTAAACGGTGAGGAGAAAAAGTTTTTTGTTTCATTGGAAGCCTGTAAGACAGCACTTACCAGAAAGTGGCTAACTCCCTCCCTTCAATTGAAGACTGGACTGACGTGATTTATGATTTTTTTTGTGATGAAGAAGCTGTCCGTTTTCAGACAAGAGGTGGAAAAATTCACACTCTTCTGGGAACTTTGGACTCAGTATATAACACCTGTAAGATCAGATTTTTCATAACTAGGCTGTTTTTTTTTGTTTTTGTTTTTTTACTATTAACTAACTTTCTACCCGTGTAAGATGCTACTCTCTGTTCTAGTAGTTCAGTAGTTTTTGTGGTTTTTTTGGTTAAGTTTTAAGAAAACTGTAAAGAGTGCATTCAGCCAAAATGTAATGCCAGCAATTTCCAAATAAACACTGCATATTAAAAAAAACCTGAAAAAGGATATCATGCATGTGCCGTTTTTATGTCTAAATAAAACCCATAGAAACTAATTGCTTTCAGAAGTCACACAAACAATAAATACATTCCACCTGAGTGTAGTTGGATCTCTGAAAACAACCTTAGACATTTTTAAAATGTATAAGCGAACATCACAAAAACCAAGGAACACAGGGATAAAGTTGTGGAATAATATCAAGAACGGTTAGGTGAGAAAACAACAGCTCAAACCATTCAGTCCATCGTCTGAGAACAGGAAAAGTATGGCACACCTACAAAGCTACAACGAACTACCAAAGACATGGCCGCATTAATCAGAAAAGCAGCCAAGAGCTCACAGTAACTCAGGAGAGCTCAGATGGTCGAGAATCTTCAGACAGAGTAATTAGTTCTACACTCCACAAATCTGCTGTTTATGGCAAAGTGGAAGGTCACTGAACAAGTTGAAACAAAGCTAGAAGAAGTTCATTCTGTAGATGGACACAGCAACAGGTGGAAGACAATGCTCTGGACAGATAAGAATAAGGGAGACTTTTTTTTTTGTCTACACGCAACATAGCATGTGTTTCGGGAAACCAAAACCATGTAAACACCCTCCCTATAGTATAAAAATGATGTGGTCATCATGAGGGCATGCTTTTATTTAATGACAGGGAAGCTGGTCAGACTTGATGGGAAGATGGATGGGGATAAAAGCAGGAAAGCATGCTTACTGGAAGAAAACATGTTATAAGCTGCAAATGAGCTGCATCTAGGGCAGAAGTTTACAGTCTTGCAGGAAAACAACCTCAAAGGGGGTGCAAATATCTGCATGCCATTCTTCTCGGTTTTTCTTTTGAATCTGTATATCTTAAAAAAAAATAAAATCCTATATGAGTTTTTCCCTTTATTTCACAATTCTGCGTTACTGTGTGTTCATTTAAAAGACCAGAAATTCTATTAAGGTAGCATGGGGTTGTTTTCTGCAAAAGTTTTTTTTTTTTTTTTTTTTGCTAAATCCACAGATATTAACACTTTTGAAAGGTACGAGATTCTCGGTTTTTAGACTTAAATAAATTCTATTAAAAAAATCTCAAAATAGTAATGAGTTTAACTTTGTATTGTTGTCTTTTTTATTATTTTCTATTATTTATTATCCAAGTAATCCACAATAATTGGGAAAATTTCTGATCTTAGAATTTATTGAAACGCTGACTTACTGGATATGATAATAAGTGTTGTAGTAGAGTCACATTTGGTATCCTCAGCTGACACCGGAGGTGTCTTTAAATGTGTCTTAGTCGCCTCTAGTAGCAGCTCTATAAACTAAATAACCCCAAGAAAAAACAACAAGAGCCTTTGGTGTCTTAAATACCTTCAGTTGATTTTTTTTAAGATGGATGTGTCAATATGTTGTTTTACTGATATACTGACATATATCTTGTACCTGCATCATTGTATATTTCGACTCTGCAGGGCTTCCAAACCCATTGACGCCAATGAAGCTGCTGCTGAAATAAGAGTTGGTGAGATTGGCGTCGCTAAGGGCTGGTCCCTCCATCCCTGGGACTGTGGATGACAAAACATAAAATAGTCAATACTGTCTGAAACCAGATTAATGTAACATGTGGTTACTTCTGCGCAGAGGTCCCAACAGTGATTACTATGAAAATGTGTAATTACCCAATTACAGGGCTAATTATAAAGCATGTAAACACTGCAGACTCTTTCGGAGACAGCCACAAGGCGATATGCAGTAGATGTCTAAAAAGTTTTTATCACTGGGGGTTACTGATTTCCGTGTCCTTACGTGTAAGTCGACCTACACAGTAACTACTGCACTCCGAAACGTTTAAGTAAGTGTTAATTACAGTGTTTACCCCGAGAAAAGGGGCCACCAAAGAGCAAAAACAATGACAGCTAGCACTGCCATGCTAATGATGGCAAACGTAAGACAGAGTTTTATAATCTATAAATGCGCATAACTTTAAAAAAAAAACTGAATTATAACTAATATCGCAAGTACTAACATTTATTTACACATTGGAACCAAAGCCAGAAGTGAAAAAAGTTTGAGAAACAATCAAAGCAGCTAGCTTAGCTGATGCTAACTAGCCCACCCAGCTGTCATACAAAAACAACAGGCCTCACTCTGAGCTCCAGAAGTATATTTTTTCTTAAGCCTGTAATAACGGAGCCAGCGATCAAAGCATGTAAGCAAGTCAGAACTTTTCACAACACAGCCAAATAATACAGAAGCAGCTATGTACATAGCAAAGGGTTTCTATGTGTAAGTTAAATGTCAAGCACGCTGTTCTGAAGTAAAAAGGCCCAACTGAATCCTCGGACTAAATTTGAACATAGATCCGGAAGGCCCTTTGGAAAAGTCTGGCTCAATCAGCCCACCCTTGTGTTGCTTTGCTTAATCTACTCACTGGTTAGCAGCTGCCCCTCCAAAGCCGTGCCTGTAGGCCCAAGTGCTTCGCTTTTCTTAGACACTCCGGTCCCTCCACCGCCTGGGCAGACCGTCGCCGTACCACCGAGGGAATACCCCGCTGGCGTCCCGCCACCTCCGGCCATGGGTAGCGGGACGGGGCTGCCGCCACCTCCGTGCAGCGACATGCTTCCCATGGAGGGATCCTCGTGCAGGAACTGGCACTCATCTCCGTAAAAGCATGTTTTGTCTTTCGCGTAGTATCGGCAAAACTTCACCTTGACACTGGGTATCCCGGCACCCCCGAGCGGAGCAGCGGAAGGTGGAAGTCCGCTGTTCATGGCACCGCTGCTGCCGCCGCTGCTGCCGGAAGATACTCAACCATAGAGAAGAAGCGGGGAGCTAGCCTGCTAGCCAGCTACTTTACAAACACTTTCCCCTCAAAGTAACGGATCGAAATCAGTACAGCTCACGGAGAACACCGAGTTCCTCGCATTATGAATATAAAATGCATTTTGTTTTAAGTAAATATGACGGCATACAAGAGGTCCTGCTCGTCGTTGTTGTCGCTATCCATGCAGCTGCCTTCCTTGCAGAGTAGCCTGTTGTTGTTTTCTGCTCGCACTCTGGCTGCTGAGCTACAGAGCAGTGAGTATGGCTCTGCATCCTGGGTACACCAGCGCTCACCTGCTGCTAGCACAACTTGCAGCAGTCTTATTCATAACAACTAATGGGATTTACTGTTTTATTTTTAGTGGGTTTAAAAAAAAAAGGAAAAAGAAAAGAACAGGAGTGAAGAGGAAAAAAAGAAGAAAAACGATGCGTTTTAAACACTTCAATAAAATGTGATGCAGACATGTTTCAGGAAAAAAAACAAATATTAAAAGTAACTGGATAGGTTATATTACGGTCAGAACCAGCCCAAGGCATACTAAAACTAAGCTTAAGCTTGGCAGCGTTACCAGTCAGTAAATGCAGCAGGTTTGGTTTCCTAAAAGCATCATGAGAGAAACAAAAATGATTCCAAAAACGTCTTCAATCTGCTCAGATGTACAGTTGCTTTTATTCCAAAATTTAGTCCATTTTCTTTTATTCAGGCTTGAGCTCCAGAGCCAGATCCAGCATTCCAGTTGATTTTTCCTTCTAGGAAATAGGACAAATCCAAATGTGTACCATTTGTAATTCCCAATATCACAGCATAATTCTGCTCTGGGGCCTAAAACATTTTGAGCCAGTTCTAGTGGTGCATGTTGTCCTTCATTGCAGAAACAAGCATATTGACTCTCAGATAAATTGAAAAGTGCTAATATGGATTCTTCATTCTACTTTTTCTACCTTTTCTTTTTAAAATCGAGTTGTTTTTTGTACTTTTACAAAAAAAATACATATTCACAGGTTTATCATATCCTGTGAATATGATAAACCAGGGATTATCATAATCCTTTGTCCCATCAGGAATATTTTCTGTGGTTTCAATGTTTAGATATGTTTTTCATTCTGCTTTTTGAGAATCCCGGATATTACAGAAGTCAGGGCGGAAGTCTTTGCAGTAGTGCATTACTTCCTCTTTCAAAACATACTGGTTCACATCCCGCACAGCAGAGTGTCACAGTGCCGTCTAAGGCGGAGTATGTAACTCAGACTGCCGGAAAGCTTCATGATGCGGCGAAAGAGATACACGATTGCAGGTAAGAGGAGGCATTTAAGTCTTTTACTGATGATGCAAAACTCATGTACATATTTGGTCTAATTTGTGAACATTTATGGGGTTTTTTCCCCTAACAGTTTAAAAATGACCATATATGTAAAATACAGAATTGACTTGACTGAAATGTGTAAATATTGGAAGTTTTATTTGAAGCTTAAGCAATGCAATGACAAGAATAATACATTTAAAAATGTAAAGCCAACTTATTTGCATTCACTTATCAGAATTGGGTAGTAAAACATGCAGTCAATTACAAAAATAAGGAACTCTACTTAGTCCACTAAAAAAATGTATATATACTTGGTAACATAAAATGTTAATCCTATTAATATTATCATTAACATAATAAGACATTTTGAAAAATTTTCAATAGTCAAATGACTGTATTTTTACATTTTGTTTTATTTTTTGTAAGTTGCTGTTTTCTATGCACAAACACACATGTTGTAAAAAAAATTTTTGTTGAAGTTGCACATTTACTTTTTTAAGTATGCTATTTTCAATAACACTATTTTTTATGTTGTAAGTTCCCTTACTGTAATCTTTATATATATATATATATATATATATATATATATATATATATATATATATATATATTTTTTTTTTTTTTTATTTTTTTTTAGATTTTTTTTTTTTTTTTTTTTTTTTAAACTTTTTTTTAATTTGGTTTTTTTTTTT